AGAAGCTTAGTAGATGCATTTCGCGCGTTTTGCTCACTTCCAGCTTTAACTGGGTTGCTATTCATTTCATATTCAGTAAAAGTACTAAATTCTTCAAAATGCTTGAGTTTGGGTTTTCCTTTCCTGGATACTGAAGGAAGCATACCTGACACCTTATCTGACTGAGCAAATCCTTGAGCAACTAATCTTGCCTTATGGGTAACAGTCCCATCTACATCAGTTTTTAATTTATAAACCCACTTGCAACCAATTGATTAGATTAGATTAGATTAGATTAGATTAGATTAGATTAGATTAGATTAGATTAGATTTATTGCACTTCTATACCGCCCTTCTCCCAAAGGACTCAGGGCGGTGTACAGCCATATTAAAACACATATAAGCCACAAAATTTGAGACCAATTTAAAAAACAAATATATAATCACCTGGTGGTAACCTAACGTTTTCATAAACATCTAACTCCTTCAATGAAGTCAGCTCTTTGTCCATCGCTTTCTTCCAAGCTATCTGATCCTTTTCAGGATACAGTTCAATTTCATTAAAGTTAGATGGTTCTATGTTCACCTGACAGACTACGCTTGCTTGATATCTATCAGGTGGACGTGTCACTCTAGTTGAACATCTAGGCAACTCAGGACTCGGTATAGGTATTTCTTCTTCTACTCCCCTATAACCTCCTCTTCCTTTACAGTAATAGAAGGTTCTTCTTCAATTATCTCATTATCAGGGTTATCAGAAAACACTTGAGTATCCACAATAACGCTATCATTTACCTTGTTGGATTCCTGCTCAAGTTTACTCCAACCAACATGTTGTGGATTTAATAAGACAAACACAACTTTTGGGTTAATCAGAGACAGATTTTATATATTGCGCAATAGGTTCAAGGCTCTGTACATGAAGCGTTGAACAAAGACAGGAATTAGGTACAATGGTTTTATACCCTTCTAGACAAAGGATTCTGTTAGGTCAGCAATTCATATGGTCCTATACATTTATCAATTTTAGTTGACATTTCCTAATTACAGAGTTTCTTTGCAAAACAGTCATAATTCTTTTTGTAGATTACTGAAGCATCTCTTTTATCTTTTGACGATGGACAACTTTTAACTCATGTGGATCCCCTTGACCTAACCAACCTTTAAGCTATATGTCATTAGAATGTTCCTTTCTTCTGACAACTTAGAGGCCTCCTAGAGGAACCAAAAGGATTTTGGCTGAGTTTGTACTTTTCCCAACCAGATGCATTGCTTTTTAGAATAGAGTGAATAGAAAGTTATCCAGTGGTCATCCATCAGAGCCCGCTTCATTACATTAAACATGCTCCAGAAACTTGGCACTAGCACTGCAGTACACACTAGTGGTACCTGGCGCCCAAAATCTATATGACCTGTGGTTGGTTTCATAACCAACAAAAAACAATTTCTTTGCTCTACGTTGTCCCTTTCTCCTCAATTGCGAAGGAATATGACCATGGGGATGTGGCAAAGGTCGTAAGTGTGAAAAACGGTCGTCAGTCGCTTTTTTCAGTGCTGTTGGTCACTAAATGAACTGTTGTAAATCGAGGACTACCTGTATTTTAGATTCAAAAGTTTTAAGCCACTTTGATTGTTGTCATGTTAATAATAAAGAAAGAAAACGTTCTGGTCTTTTTCTAAAATTCTGCTTCCGGATCAAATCAACAGTAGAATCCAAGCTTTATGCAATTCAGGTGGCAAAACAGGACGATCTCTACAAATGATGACCATGCGATGGCTAAAATATATAAACTTGAAACAAAGAACAAGCAAAAGATTGTATGGTTAAAGGGGTTAAGCGCTTTGGAATTAATATACTGATTGAAAAATGGGAAAACACATGGCTGAAAAAACTAAATCTTTCCTTATAATTTGAAAGAGAACATTTTTTTATAAAACCATGTGCAATTGGTATATGCCTCCAGAAAAATTATCTAGAATATATAAAGATGCTTCAACTTTATGTTGGAAATCTGGAACAGACGAAGGCTCATTTTATCATGCCTGCTAGGCTTGCAAAAAAAATAATAATTGGGATTCAAATACATATAGCTATATTAGGGGTGAAATCCAGCAGGTTCTGACAGGTTCTGGAGAACCGGTAGCGGAAATTGTGAGTAGTTCAGAGAACCGGCAAATATCACCTCTGGCTGGCCCCAGAGTGGGGTGGGAATGGAGATTTTGCAGTATCCTTCCCCCAGGAGTGGGGAGGGAATGGAGATTTTGCAATATCCTTCCCCTGCCACGCCCACCAAGCCACACCGCGCCCACCACGCCATGCCTACAGAACCGGTAGTAAAAATATTTGGATTTCACCACTGAGCTATATAAAGAATTTTAAAGATTGCTAGTCAGTTAAAACCAGAACTTTTGCAATTGAGATTAATGCATAGATAATTAAAAAGAATTGTGGAAGGTTGTTTTTATATAAAATAACTGCTGCACAATTATATGCACAAAAGTAAAAAGTTTCTGAAATACCCCACAATGGAAGAATGGCTGGTAAAGATGTTAGAATTGGCAGAAATAGCAAAATTGACTTGTCTGTGTCAACTCTCAAAGTGTCTCTGGCCTGCTCTTGAATTGCCATAGGCCAGAGCGGATGGGAAACCGGTGAAACGGCAAAGCAGCCAAAGACAGATGCACATTCCAAGCTTATCTCTCTCAAGGCTGTATCCAGTGGTGGGTTGCTACCGCTTCATCCCAGATTGGGCAAACCAATAGTGGCAGTGGTGGGAGGCTCCGCCCACCCACCCGGATGCTTCTGTCCATGTGCAGAAGTGACGCACATGTGCGCAAGCATCCACGAGCGAACTGGTAGCGACGGGTTTTGAAACCTGCCCCTGGCTGTATCCCAGGGTTACCTACAGCAGCCTGGAGGGGAGTGATCTCTACAACCCACAAAATTGCTCCGTTGGCGAATGTGATTGATGACACACCCTGGGGGGAGGGGGGAAAAACAGGGTCATAATTGGAGTGTAAATTACGTAGGGTCAGAGCTGGCTTCACTTGGGAACGTGCCGACATGAAGCTCCTAATAAATAATTGGATTTCTTTCAAAGCTTGACTCGACACTCATGATTTAATTAGGGCCTCTGTCGGAACCCTGACAGCCTGGTTCTATATCTATCTTTAGAAGAATTGATTTCAATAGGTGAATCCTAACACTACAAGTCTGCAGCTGAAAATAATTACGCTCTAGTCCCTTGATCATGTTTTCATATCATTCTCATCAAAATAATCTAACTATTTCTAGTTTCCTACTGCTTACCTATTCATTTATAAATGATACTTTAATTCGGATTTCTACTTCCTTCTGTCTGGGATTCTATAACCCATAATCTACCGATTGTGGGTTATAGAATCTCTCATAATCACTGAGAGTTTATACAAAGACAAATCCCTTGTGTGTCCAATCACACTTGGCCAATAAAGAGTTCTATTCTGTTCTGTTCTGTTCTGTTCTGTTCTGTTCTGTTCTGTGCTATGCTATGCTATGCTATGCTATGCTATGCTATGCTATGCTATGCTATGCTATGCAAAGCTATGCTATGCTACACTACACTACGCTATGCTACAGTATTCTATTCTATTCTATTGACATTTTGGCTGATTTCACATACCACATTGAAATCAATTACTGAATTAAACCATATTTCTTCATCAGTACGATACATCAAACATACATTAACCAAATAAGGTGGATTACTGCAATACTCTGTCACAAAAAACGTAATCAAGATTAAAAACTAAAGATGAATGCACCCACTTCCACTCCAACACAGGCACTCCAACACAGGCCATCTATAAGTGCAGCCATGATTGTTTCATTCTGTACTAAATGCACCTTGAAACCAGACTGAAATGGGAGTGGATAATCAGCTTCCTTCAGGGTTCTCTGCAGCTGTAGGCTGTTCACTTTTTCAATAATCTTTTCCAAATTTATTTATTTATTTATTTATTTATTTATTTATTTATTTATTATATTTCTATACCGCCTTTCTCCCGTAGGACTCAAGGCGGTGTACAAATAACAAAGATTGGAGATAGGGTGATGATAATCTAAAGTTGCTTGGTCAAAGGACAGTCTCTTGAATATAGGGTGTACCCAGTGGTGAGTTTCAAATAATTTCACCACTGGTTCGCCGAAAATGTGAGCGCGCACGCACACGCTTGCGCACGCGGCTTCCGCCACGTGGCGAGGCTTGACCGAACAGCCTTTCGGGGCCTGCTCCCCTCCATCTCTGCTCTCCGGGGCAGCGACTGCTTCTCTCGGCACTGCTGGGAGAGCATCTTGTGCAATTTAACAGCTGTGAGCCGCTGCTTTCCTCTAAATCCCATCCGGACAGCGCTGCGGCACAGAGAAGCAGCAGCCATGTTGAATGCTGTTTCTCTCAGCTTCAGCGCTTTCCAGATGGGACTTAGAGGAAAGCGGCAGCTCACAGCTGTTAAATTGCACAAGACGCTCTCCCAGCAAGAGCAGCAGCGGAGAGAAGCAGCTGCCGACCCAGAAAGCACATGGAGCGTCTTCACGAGCGACCGAGGCTCGGCAAGGGACAGAAGAAGCGGCTGCAAGATCTTCATTGCAGCGCTTTCCAGATGGGACTTTCTACAGGTAAGAAGAACTGTCCGGTCCATTCCCAAACCGTTTCGGCCCTTCTGTGCCCCCCACCCCCCGGCCCTTCAGCCTAGCGCAGCAGGCTGCAGGCCAAATAAATAGCTTTGGCCCAGGGGGGCGTATTTTGAGGCCAGAGGGGGGTGGCGGCATGTGGGCAGAGGCCCAGGGCAAAGCCGGAGTGGGGGAATGGCGGGGCTCCAACCCGAGGCGAAGGGCAAGGTCGGAGGCAAGGTGCGGAGATTAGCTGGGCCGCGTGGTGAAGGCAAGATATATAGGGTGGGGTGGGGTGGGGCGGGGTGGGCGTGGGGTGGGCGTGGCCAGCCAGTGGCGCAATTTGCTGGTTCTCCAAACTGTGCAGAATCATTACTACCAGTTCGGTAGAACCGGTCCGAACCAGCTGAATACCACCTCTGGGGTGTACCCCTTCCATCTTGAAAGAGAAAGCTTGAGGCACCATCCCCTCCCCCAAAGAAGCAGACACCGTAGCATGGACAGGACCAGGTACAGGAGGATCCGGCATAGAGGTGGCTAAGCTAACAGCACAGAGAACCCTCCCCACTTCATCAAGAGGCACAAGGTCAAATTAGGATGCCTCAACTGGACTCCAGTTGGAGTCCAGGTTTGAGTGGATCTGAGTATCTGCCAGATATTCAGAATGCCATGCCTGTCTCTACCCATCTGAATCCCCATCAGATACCCAAATCTAACATGGAACCCCTGTTATGCATTGGGCTATTGATAACTTGGGACAGGTCCATGGTTGCCATGGGTCAGCCCAGATTTTATGCTGCCAAGACCTGAGCACCAACAGATTAAGGGGACTCTACTGCCAGCTCAGCAACAGAATCCAGCAACACAAGGAGGGGCAGCAGGGAAGTCAGTACAGCAGCAACAATTTCAAGTGTTCCCAAATAAACTGTGGAGGGTGGGGGGTTCCCCAGTTCTTTGTTATTTTTCTAGCCTACTCTTCCTATTTAGAGGAATCATTTTCAATTATGAGTCCTTTATTTTAGGTAAATAGGATAATGCATATATGAAGACTTTATAAACCTACGTCACTGAGCAAAACTATGAAAAAGGAGACATGAAAAGCAACTGATAAAAACAAGCTGCAGGAGGGTCAAAATCCATCGCAATTTTGATCATGCTCTGCCAACACTGGGGATTAACGAGGAACCGCACGGATCTTCAACGGGAAATGTTGCATCCCAGCCCCTATTACATGCTCCATGTTAAGTCCTTTTAGTCCTTCTGGATGCTGGAAGGTAAATGTTTTCATAAGGTTGGTGAAGAAAATGAAGAGCTCCATCTGAGCCAAAGTCTTCCCCAAGCATTCACGGGAGCCTAAAAATAATAAAGGGAAGATCGTGAGATGCAGGCATGAACCACTACCAACGCCGATTGCGGTTATAACCTAGACCAGGGGTGTCAAACTCAAGTCCCGGGGGCCAAATTTGGCCCACGGGGTGCCTAGATCTGGCCCATGGGGCCGCCATGAAAACAGTGAAGGACTAGCCCGCTGTGTCTCTGCCAGTGAAAACAGAGCTTGAGAAGGCCGTGTGCGGCTCTTGCAAGCTCCTTTTTCACTGGCAGCAGGTTGCAGGAGGCCGTCATAGCAGGAAACGGAGCTCGGGAGCCGTTTTTGCTGATGCATCCTGGCCATGCCTACCAGGGGTGGGTTCTACTTACCTTTACTACCAGTTCACAATGGAATTGAAGCTTCTGCGCATGCGCAGGTCACTGATGACGACATTCGGGGCAGTGGGCGGGGTCTCCCGCCGGTTTTACTACCGGTTCTTGCGAACCAGTCCGAACCGGGGGCAACCCACCACTGACACCTACCCCGGTCCCCTGAGGTCAAACACAACCCTCAATGCAAACGAGTTTGACACTTCTCAATGCAAATGAGTTTGACACTTGCAGTGTCAAACGAGTTTGACACTGCAAGAGCCTTGGTAGTACAGTGGTCTAAAGCACCCTGTTATTAAGACCACCTGCCTGCAATTACTGCAGGTTCGAATCTCACCAGGGTCAAGGTTGACTCAGCCTTCCATCCTTTCTAAGGTAGGTAAATTGAGGACCCAGTTGTCAGCAATAAGCTGACTTTGTATAAATATACAAAAGGATGAAGGCTATTGCTTAGCACATTGTAAGCCGCCCTGAGTCTCCGGAGAAGGGCGGCATATAAATCAAATTTAAAAAAAAAAAAAAACAACTTCTGACCCAGATGCAGATTGGCGAGCATTTTTTAAAATAGCGCTTAGCAACAGCACTTATATACCGCTTCACATGCCGCTTTACAGCCCTCTCTAAGCGGTTTGCACGATCCGCATATTGATCCCAACAATCTGGGTCCTTATTTTATCGACCTTGGAAGGATGGAAGGCTGAGTCAACTTTGAGCTGGTGAGAATTGAACTGCTGGCAGTCAGCAGAATTAGCCCGCAATACTGCATTCTGACCTCTGCGCCACCAGTGGTTAGAGTGCCTGGGAAACTCTGTTCTCAGTCCTGGAATGAGCAGATTTTAAAAAAAACAGTTAATTGTGAAAAGTTCCATGCAGTATAATTAGTTCTTGACATGAAGGCAGCCTATTATGACCGTATAGCCATAAAATAGGTTGGTCGCGTGATTGACCTCGATATAACGACTTTTGTGCACTTATTGTTAAACAAATCACTGGGGTCATGTGATCACTGTGAATAAAATTCAGAGTCATTAAAGCTTTTAGCTATAGAAACCCATTAAAGAACCTTTGCAAAAATCTAAGGGTCGCCCAAGTGCCAAAACTATGGTTCAAAGCTACCGCTAAAGTTTGAAGACGGATCAGTTATATTGTCAGTGTATTTACCTGCCCCAAAGGTCAGGAAATCTTCTCTGAATACAAATTTCCCATCTTGATCCAAAAAGTGGTTAGGGTTGAACTGTCGAGGTGTCTCCCATTGTTTGGGGTCCAGCAGAACAGAGCAGAGATCAGGGATCATCAAGCTACCCTGGAAAAGGAAAACATTAACTGCGGTTTTCGCAAAGCATGCTTAGCTTAGCCTGATGTCCCAATTAATATTCTCTCTCCCTTTCTTTCTCTCTCTCTCCCCCTTTCTCTCTTTCTCCCTTTCTCTCTTTCTCCTTTCTCTCTTTCTCCCTTTTTTCTCCCTCTCCTTTCTCTCTCTCTCTCTCCCTCCCTCTCTTTCTCTCTCTCTCCCTTTCTCTCTCTCTCTCCCTTTCTCTCTCCCTTTCTCTCTCTCTCCCTTTCTCTCTCCCTTCTCTCTCTCTCTCCACCTCCCCCTCCTTTCTCTCTCTCTCCCTCCCTCTTTCTCTCTCTCTCTCCCTTTCTCTCTCTCTCCCCCTCCCCCTCTCCTTTCTCTCTCTCTCCCCCTCTCTCTTTCTCTCTTCTTCTCCCTCTCTCTCCCCCACTCCCTCTTTTCTTTCTCTCCCTCTCTCTCCCTTCCTCTCTGTCTCTCTCTCCCTTTCTTTCTCTCTCCATTTCTCTTTCTCTCTTTCTCTCTCCCTCTCTCTCTCTCCCACTCCTCTCTCTCTCTCTCTCCCCCCTTTCTCTCTTTCTCTCTTTCTCTCTTTCTCCCTTTCTCTCTCCTCTCTCCCTCTCTCTCTCTCCCTTTCTTTCTCTCTCCATTTCTCTTTCTCTCTCCCTCTCTCCCACTCCCTCTCTCTCTCTCTCTCTCTCTTTCTTTCTCTCTCTCTCCCCCTTCTCTCTTCTCCCCTTCTCTCTTTCTCTCTCCCTCTCCCTCTCTCCCTTTCTTTCTCTCTCCATTTCTCTTTCTCTCTTTCTCTCTCCCTCTCTCTCTCTCCCACTCCCCCCTCTCTCTCCCTTTCTTTCTCTCTCTCTCTCCCCCTTTCTTCTTTCTCCCTTTCTCTCTTTCTCCCTTTCTCTCTCCCTCTCCCTCTGTCTCTCCCCATGTGTGTGCCTTCCAGTCAGGATGTTTGCCATTGCTTCTTTCCTAGGGCAGAGGGAGAGAGCCTGGTCCAAGGTCACCCAGCTGCTTCATGCCTGAGGCAGGACTACAAGTCACAGTCTTAACCGCTACACCAAAGTGGCTCTTTTTCTGAGCATACATGAACTGTATGCCACCCCATGGCTTAGGGTTTTCACTGCACATTAAGCCACAAGTACAGGTAGTCCTTGACTTACAACAGTCCATTTAGGGACTGTTGAAAGTTACAACGGCACTGGAAAAAAAGTGACTTGTAACTGTTTTTCACTCCTAGGACCGTTGCAGCATCCCCGGGATCACGTGATCAAAATTCAGACGCTTGGCAACTGACTCATATTTATGACAGTTGCAGTGTCCCAGAGTCACGTGATCTTCTTTTGCGACCAACAAAGTCAACGGGGGAAGCCAGATTCACTTAACAACCAGGTTACTAACTTAAAAACCGTAGCAAGTCACTTAACAACTGCGGCAAGAAAACTCGTAACATGGGGGCAAAGCACGCTTAACAAATGTTTCATTTAGCGACACAAATTTTGGGCTCAATTGTGGCCGTAACTTGAGGACTACCTGTATAAACTACCTTCATTGGCATATCCTCAGGATGCCCACAGCTGAGGCACTTAAAGCTGTCCTTAGCCATTCCAATTTCAAAGAAATGTTTTTTCCTCTTTGGTCAACGGGACCTTTGCTGTGAGTATGACCTGGCACGATTACTGACCCAGACAAAGCTTGAGAGGTTTTAAACTACTGGAGGTTTTTTAAAAATAGATTGCACAACCATTTGTCTGAAATGGGAAAGGGTTTCCTGCCTGTGCATCAGCAGGGGGGGGGGGGCTGGGATAGATGACTTCCAGGGTCCCTTCCAACTCTGTTATTTATTTATTTATTTATTTATTTATTTATTTATTTATTTATTTATTTATTTATTTATTTATTGGTTCGATTTATATGCCGCCCTTCTCCGGAGACTCAGAGTGGCTTACAATGCGTTAAGCAACAGCCTTCATACTTTTGTATATACCTGCTTAGTAGGGCTTTCGCTCCCCCCTCCAAGCGGTTCTTTTTTATACAAAGTCAGCTTATTGCCCCCACAAACCGGGTCCTCATTTTACCTACCTCGGAAGGATGGAAGGCTGAGTCAACCTTGAGCCTGGTGAGATTCGAACTTGCAGTAATTGCAGGCAGCTGGTGTTACTTAACAGCACTTTAGTCTGCTGCGCCACCAGTAGTTATCCGCTCCTATGGGTCACTTTGGGATCCTGCATTTATGTCTCTCCCTTCCATATTGTCCTTAGAACCGGATACCGAATACAGAATAACAGAGTTCGAAGGGACCTTGGAGGCCACCTAGTCTAACCCCCTGCTCAAGCAGGAGCCCCTATACCCGTGATGGCGAACCTATGGCACGCGTGCCACAGGTGGTACGCATAGCCATATCAGTGGGCACGCAAGCTTAGCTCTGGCGCGTATGCGTGCACTGTCCAGCTGGTTTTCGGGCTTTCTGGGCCCACCAGAAGTAGGGAAACAGGTTGTTTCCTGCCTCCAGAGGGTGTCAGGGTGGTGCTGGGGAAGGCTGTTTTCGCCCTCCCCAGACTCCTAGAGAGGCTTTAGAGCAGTGATGGCTAACTTTTTTGCCGTCGCGTGCCAAAAGCAGGGGGAGGATGGGGGGGTTGCGCGTGCCGTGCCCACACCCATAATTCAATGCTCCATGCGTGCAACCCCACCTCACTCCCCCCACTTTTGGCATATGACGGCAAAAAGGTTACCGGTGGGCCCAGTAGGCCCGTTTTTCACCCTCCCCAGGCTCCAGAGCCTTTCTAAGAGCTTGGGGAGGACAAAAACGGCCTTCCCTACCCCCTCCCCGGAGGCCGGAAACACCCGTTTCCCGACTTCCAGTGGGCCCATAAGGCCCGAAAATCAGCTGGTCGGTGCATGCGTGCATGCTGAAGCTGAGCTATGGCAATGCTCATGTGCCCACAGATATGGCTCCGTGTGCCACCTGTGGCACACATGCCATAGGTTTGCCATCACAGCTCTAGAGCCAGGTGAGAGAGAAAAACGGGCCTACATCGCATGCCAGGAGCAGGAGCGAGGGGGGTCGTGCATGCATGCGCAGGGGCGGGGCGCATAGAATTATGAGTGTGGGCGCGCGTGCATGACCCCCCCCCGCCCCCACCCTCCTGGCATGCGATGGCAGTGCCAGGAGGGTTAGCCATCACTGCCCTATACCATTCCTGACAAGTTACCAGCTTGAGCCCATTATGACATGGACGCAAAACCACTGGTCCTGTTTTTATTTTTAAGCGTGGGGTTAGTTCTGTCTTGTAGAACTGCTGGTCCTGTGTTGCACAAAATGATGAATTACACTTGGGGAAGTTGTGTGTTGCTAATGCTGTCTCCCCTATGGTTTTCTATTGCTTTGACTGACAACATTGGGGTGTTTGTTTATTTGTTTGTTTGTTTGGCGTTGGTGTACTGTTATTCTGTACCTTTGGAATATAACAATCAAGTATGTTCAGATCTATTTCGCACAACCTAAAGAGGGTGGGAAATGCGATACTGCTGAGACGCTGGGTTTCGTGAATGACGGCATAGGAATAAGGCAGTTTCTTCCGATCTTCGTGGCAGATTGTTTTGTGGGGATCCAGGGCGTTTTCGATCTCCTTCTGTACTTTCTCTGAGAACAAAAGAAATGCAGTCTGATTGACAAGCAAGCGAATAACCTCTTTAGGGAAGTAATGTGGATAAAAGAAAGGAATCATACAGAGTCAGATATATGAGCTCTAAAGGACCCTCTCTATTCACATTATTATAAGGGGAAGACGTGCTTAGATACATGAACTTTGAGAGAACCTCTCTATTCACATTATTATAAGATAGAAAAGTGCTTGTTGGAAATTACATTAACGAACAGTTAAACCTCATTAAGTGGTAATATATCTTCTGATGAGACCTAGATGTCACGAAAGGACAGCCATATGGAAAACATCTGAGTGACCTCACTGTGAATGAACAAAGACCTATATGTTACAAAGAGTTACTTAATCCAATAAATTTACCCAAGGACAGTAGTAAATCTCCCATTAGCAACTCCGAGCACTTAAGGAAAAGTTGTGTGGCTAAGATAATTTTATAAACTAAAATTAATGGTTTAAGTAATTAGATGAACATATTATCCAATGTATGTAACCATATAGGGAAAATTGGATGTATGATCTCATGTTAACCATATATGGAAAATGTATGATCTCACTGAATCCTTTGTCTTAGAAATGTATAAAACCAGTTGTATCAGAGTTCTCTCCTTGTTCAGAGCTTCAGGTACAAAACTGGCTCTGAATCTTGTGCAATAAAACTGTCTCTGGCTGACCCAGGAATGTTGTTTGGTCTCATCATTCCACAACAGAAGCCTCAAGAAAGTTAGTCTCCACTTAATTGAAACTCAGGGTAAATTTCAGTTACTAGCTAATCCGGCAAGAACTATAACTAAAGGGAAAATTCAAAAAAGATGAAATGGAAGAAAGGCAACCCCGAACATATATAAATATACTAAGATAAAGAATGAATGGTTAAAAAATAAAAGAGAATAAATATGAATAAGCAGGAAAATTAGAATTTGAGGGCGAATGAAGATGCTGTTTATATAAGTAAGCAAAGAAATATTGAGATATGATTTAAAAAAGGGAAAAAATAAAATTGTGGCAAAAATTGTAATTGAGTAAAATGTATTAGAATTTGATAAATTCTATAAGATAAGATATGGCCAATACTCTGTTCAAAAAAGATGTGGTGAAGGTGGGGTGGGGTGGGGGGTCGGGACCAATAAAACTTGTTTAAAAAAAAAACTAAAGGGAAAATTAATGCTATTATCAATACTTAGATCATGTGTCCTCAAACTACGGCCTGCGGGCTGCATGCAGCCTGCCAAAGCCATTAATCCAGCCCGCGCAGGGCAATGAGGCTGCACCTCTCACATCACCCCACCCCACCCCTTCGGCCAAACGCAGGATTTACCTTCGCAAGCCCCATGGGCTAGAACTGAAAGGGTAAGGCCAACAATTTTGGCCTGCAGAGACATTCTGGAAGCAAGGGAGGTGAAAAATGGGGCACACAGACAGTCCAGGAGGTCCAAAAAAATGGGTGAAAACGGCCCAATTTTGGCCATAAAACAGGCCGTTTTTGCCTGCGGAATGCTGCTGGAGACAGGGGAGGCGGAAAACTGGGTGCACAAGTGTCCCAGGAGGCCAAAAAATGGGAGAAAAGGGCCCGTTTTTCACCTCCCCTGCATCCAGAAGCTAGAGAGAGAGGGGGGGGAGAGAAAGAGAGAGAAAGAGAGGCAGAGGGGAAGAGACAGAAAGAGGGAGAGGGAGGGAGAGACAGAAAGAGAGAGAGACAGAAAGAGAGAGGGGGGAGGGAGAGACAGAAAGAAAAAGAGAGAGAGAGAGAGGGAGGGAGGGAGAGAGAGAGAGAGAGAGAGAGAGAGAGAAGAAAGACAGAGATTTCTCAAGCTCCTTGGGGATGAGAAGAATTGCTGCAAAACTGAGTTTCCTGAAGTGGACCACTAGACTCCTAAACAACTGAAAAAATGATCTAGTAAAAAGAAAACTCAACCAAAAGAGTAACGTTCAACCAAAAACAAATAAAACACCCCCCAGGAGCAAAATAAATTAAAGTTTAATTAGTGTGCATTATTTAATGGACTGTTCCCATGCCCACCTTGTCACATGACCTAGCCAAGCCCCCCCCCCCCAGTCAGTCTGGGACCCTCCAACAGTCTTAGGGACCGTGAATTGGACCCCTGTTTAAAAAGTTTGAGGACCCCTGCCCTATACATTTCAGACAAGTGGTTATCCAATCTCTTCTTAAAAACTTCCAGTGTTGGACCATTCATAACTTCTGGAGGCAAGTTGTTCCGTTGATTAATTGTTCTCACTGTCAGGAAATTTCTCCTTAGTTCTAAGTTGCTTCTCTCCTTGATTAGTTCCCATCCATTGCTTCTTTTCCTGCCTTCAGGTGCTTTGGAGAATAGGTTGACCCCCTCTTCTTTGGGGCAGCTCCTGAAATACTGGTAGACTGCTATCATGTCATCCCTAGATGGTTGTTAAGCAAGAACTACCCCTACTCCATTTCATTTGACTAAGTCAGGGGTCCTCAAACTTTTTAAACAGGGGGCCAATTCACCGTCCCTAAGACTGTTGGGGGGCCGGACCGGCTGGGTGGGCGTGGCTAGGTCATGTGACTAGGTGGGGCATGGCCAAGGTCATAAAATGGGGCAAAATTCACGTAACCACCGTCTCACTTAGCAACATAAACATTGGGCTCAACTGTGGTCATAAGTGGAGGACTAGCTGTATGTACTTCAACTTCTTGAACTGCTTGCTTCCGGAAGTTGTGGGCGCTTTCTCGCTGGAGGTCTTTAAGAAGAGACCAGACAGCCACTTGTCTGAAATGGTATAAGGTCTCCGGCTTGAGTAGGGGGCTGGACCAAAAGACTTCCAAGGTCCCTTCCAGCTTTATTCTATTCTATGATTCTATCCCGCCTATCTCCTTCCGTCTCTGACCTTTTGGCCATCCAGTACCGCCTCTGCTGCTTTGCCGCCCTGCACTTTAGTGTCTCTGCTACCCAGCGCTCCATCCTGTCCCCCCCCCATCACTCTGTGCTCCGTTGCTCCTGCCAGCCTGCACTTTGCCACCCCTGCTGTCCCCAGCTGACCTTCGCTGTCTTCTTCTCCCCGCTGCTGTACTCACGATGTACACATCTTGGCCTTTTTTGAGGCAGCTCAGCCGGGGGAGACAAGTGTGGAAGAGCCCAGAGTGACCGAAAGAGGAGAAATGGGGTGGAAGACTTGAAATGGAGGCCAGCATGGCATGGCAGAAGAAGGAGGTCCTTGCCTAACAGGCACGACAGTTTCTCCCCCTTCAAACCCACACGGCCTCCAGGCCAGGTGTGAAATGCTCCCGGTTTCGACCGGTTCGGCCGAACCGTTAGCGATGGCAGCCAGTGGTTCGGAGAACCGGTAACGATAGCGGCACGAGGCTCTGCCCACCCGCCCAGTCGTTCGTTGTTACTTCCTGGTTAAAACCAGGAAGTAATGACGACTGGGCGGGTGGGTGGAGCCTCGCAGAAGTGTTTGCCCATGAGCAGAGGGTCCAAGGCGCGTGCACTTCCGAACCACTTGGGAAGGTAAGTAGATTTCACCCCTGCTCCAGGCGCTGGAGACAGAACCTCGACAGCCTCCCTTGGACAGCCCAGAATTGGAAGATCTAAAGGTAGAGGTTGAAAAAAGGAGGGAGGAGAGCCTAGAATTCTTACCACAAGCAGGGGTGGGATTCTACTGGTTTGGACCAGTTCGGGCAAACCGGTAGCTCTGACGATCAGATCGGCCTGCCCACCCGCCCCTGCGCTTTACTTACCTTTATCTTCTCAGCTGATTGGCGTGGTAGAGCAGATTGTCGTGCCTCAGCTGTGTTACTCCCAAGTGGTAACACAGAAGGTTAGTATTTGTAAAACTGTGCACACACGCACAGCGCATGTTAGGTGCGCTCGCACACAAAGCGCGTGATCACCGAACCGGTTGTTAAACCGGCAGCATCCCACCACTGACCACAAGCTTTTCTCACCTTGAATATTGGGATGAACCGCCATAAAAAACAGACCCCAAGAAAGGGTGACAGCTATGGTGTCCGTGCCTGTGAGGAACAAGTCAACGATAACTTGAACCAAATTGTCTTCATCGAAAGTCGAGGTGGAGTCCTTTTTCTCCTATGGATCGGATGAACAAAACAGAACTGAAGCCCAAGATATTCAGAGTTACGGAGCCTTAATTCCAACTGTTGTGCGGCAATGTCACTGTCAGGAAGAGGGATTCCTGGCCACTGTATTATACCCCAAATCTATCCACGAGATGAGGAGCAGGATCTTCTCAACAGACCTTAATACATAAGATAGATGGTACTGGAGAATATTTTTTGCATCCTAAACCAGTTAAGGCTGTGTAGCCCAGGATTAATATTTAAGCTGTGCTTGATAGGTGGTAGCAAACTATCCAGCATTTTGGGGATCATTGTTATATGGTTCCATTTAGCTACTTCACTTAAGGACTGGGTAGTTTCCTCCATAGAATGTATTGCAGTTAAGAAATCAAGAGGTTTTCAGGGATCCCTGAAGCTAAGTTACTGTAGTGTAGTTACAGGCATAGCTAGAACCAGTGGTGGGATTCAGCCAGTTCGCACCAATTCAGGAGAACCGGTTGTCAACTTTCTGAGCAGTTTGGTGAACTGATTGTTGGAAGAAATCATTAAGGCAGAGAACCGGTTGTTAAATTATTTGAATCCCACCACTGGCTAGAACCCCAGCTGAGACTGAGCAGATGTTCATATTTATGACAGTCCTGGGGTCATGTGATCCCCTTTGGCGACCTTCTGACAAGCAAGGTCAATGGGGAAGCCAGATTCACTTTACAATCCTGTTCCTAACTTAACAACTGCAGTGATTCACTTGCCACAAGTGTGGCAAGAAAATGGGGCAAAACTGACGTAACAGTCGTCTTGCTTAATAGCCATGGGAATTTGGGGCTCAGTTGTGGTCATAAATCAAGGCCTATCTGTAGTTGTATTTTCAGACTGGTATTCAACGAAAGTTTTCAAGTGAGACAGCCTGTTTCTTTTGGCGAGAATGCTTGGCTCACTCTTAACCTGATAATTCCTTAGTCACAATATCTCAATCCTACCTCAATTTTACCCCTAATCCAGGAGTGTCAAACTGGATTTCTTCGAGGGCTGGATCAGCATTGTAGTTCTCTTCTGTGGGCCAGGTGCAGTGGGGGGCAGATGGGATGGACACCCTCCTGCAGCACCCTGCCAGCCAAAATGGGAGGGGGAGGAGTCTCGCGAGGCCCTCCGCAGCCTGTTTTCAGCCTAGATGGCCTCCTGCAACACCCTGCCAGCCAAAACCGGGGACAGAGGGCCACGCAAGGCCCCCTATGCACCATTTTTGGCCTGGACAGCCTCCTGCAGCACCCTGCCAGCCAAGATGGGGTGCCAGAGGGCCATGTGAGACCCTTGTGCCCCATTTTAGGCCTTCTGCAGCACCCTGCCATCCAAAATGGGGCATGGGGGACCTCGCACAGCCCCCCTGCACCCGATTTTGGCCGGCAGAGTGCTGCAGGAGACTGCCCAGGCCAAAAATGGGGCATGGGGGGGGCGGTATTTCATTTTTGGCAGCAAATGCTCCTTTAAAACCAAGAAAAAGATATCCCAAAAGTGTTTTTTCCAAAAGGCAACTGGACTTTCTTTTTTTTTTTTTTCCTTGAAAACATTTCACATCTCATTCAAGAAACTTCTTCAGGTCAGTTCAGGAGCTTCTTGGATGAGAAGCGAGACGTTTTCAAGGGAAAAAACCCAAGGAAGTCCAATGGTCTTTTGGAAAAGCACTTTTGCGATAGGCCATATACATTGAATTCCGTTCAGTTTGGCTTGCCTTGAAATGGTGTTTAGCCAAATTCAGGTTTTTAACTCTGCTTTTCCTGCTCCTACATTGGAAAAAAGTTTTGTGTATCCCTGTCCTGCTGGGCTAAGTTGATATTTTAGGCTTGGTGAATCAAAAACTAGGCAGGCCAAATAGGGTTTTGCACATGAAAACATGGAAGCTTACATCATCCATGTGAGCTAAATAGAAGTCAATGTAGCTTTGCGGCTCATGAGAGGCCTGAGGAGTCTTAGAGCTTCTCATCTTCTTTTTGATATAAGAAATCATAAATTCAAAGGACAAAACCGCCTTCTTGTGAGGCCCAGGGAGGTATTCCATAAGAGAAGGGAAGATGTTATACATCTGCAGGAAGAGAAATAATTTTAATCATAATTCTCAATAACCTTGGTAGCTTAGACATTTAATTTATAAGCCACCGTGTGGCATTCTTAGTGCTCTCTTTTCTTGGTTATTTGCTTGTAGATGTTTCATCTGAAATGATATATATTTATGAGATATATGTTATATATTTATGAGATATATATTATATAATATGAGATATATTTTTAACAAGTTATGCCTTGGTAAAAACAGACGTGGAATATGCATCCAATTTTGGTCAGCATAATATAAAAAAGACTTTGAGACTCCGGAAAGAGTGCAGAGAAGAGCGACAAAGAAGATTTGGGGGGGAGGGACTGAAGGCTAAAACATATGAAGAACGGTTGCAGGAATTAGATATATCTAGTCTAGTGAAGAGAAGGACCAGGGGTGACATGATAGCAGTGTGCCAATATTTGGGGGACTTCCACAAAGAAGAGGAGGGGGAACAAGCTATTCTCCAAAGCACCTGAGGGCAGGTCAAGAAGCAATTGATGGAAACTACTCAAGGAGAGAAGCAACCTAGAACTAAGGAGAAATTTCCTGACGGTAAGAAAAATCAACAAGTGGAACAGCTTACCTTCAGAAGTTGTGGGTGCTCCAACACTGGAGGCTTTTAAGAAGAGACTGGGCAGCCATTTGTCTAAACCAGTATAAGGGGATGGACTAGAAGACTCCATGTCCCCTTCCAACTCTGTTATTCTGTATGGTTTTCCCTCTGCATTTTAAGATATATTTATATCTGTGATATAGATAGCATTGGACAAGGTGTTGTGGCTCCGTTACCTGAGCCTGTGTCATCATCAGGAGAGGACTCCGAGAGTGAAGGAGAGGAGTTCGCAAGGCCTCCCTCTCCAGGACCCTCCTCTCTGGCAATGCCTTCGGTGTCCGCCGAAGGGCAAGAGATAGGGCCAGGGCCAAGCACGTCCACGGAGCCACAGGTGGACAGTGATGAGGGTAATGAGTCTTGGCTGGATCCCCGGCAGCGTCGCAAAGATAAGCGCGCGCAGCAGAAGGCGTGCCAGAGATTAGGCTGAGTCACTGGATCACACCCCACAGGATATAAAAGGGGGTGAGGTGGCCATTCAGACTCTGTGATGGACAAAACTAACTACTATCAAGTCACATTGCATCTTTGGAAACAACATTATCGGCCTTGGATTTATTTTACGAACTGGACAATTCTTGACTGTGGGTATTTTGTTTATTGAGTAAAAGTTCTTGGCAAGCAGCTACTGGGTTGCTGCCAAGCGTCTTATCGGAAGAATTGGTTGTCTGCCAGTTTATTTAACCCCCGGCTATCTGTTTGTGTGTGTGTGTGTGACGGGGACAGAACACAAGGTGGATCAATAAAGCATTCCAGGAAGTTATAAGGCCATACGTTCTAAGGCATTATGAGGAAAACTTTCGTTTACTTGATTTGCTTACCATTTCTCCAAAAGTGCCTCTGCATTTTGTAATGTTATTGATGTGTTCAACAAGCTTTTGGAACATGTCATCCACTCCGAGAACAGGTTCCCCAAAAACTGCTGTGTGGATCATTTGGGAGGCTGAATGCATGATCAGTGGGGAAGGGTCCAGTGATTGTCCTATACCCAGAAGTTAGCAAACTGTTACAAACACAACAAAGCTGGTAGAAGGAAAAAATATTCTGTAAAGCAAACTGACTGCCATTGCTAAATAAAGAAACAGCGGGCAGGTCAGACGGAGAAAGACTGCCTGCCAGCTGCCACCTTATGCCATGCAGTGAGTTTGCCATGAACTCTGGGAAGAGTGAATAGGAGAGGGAGCCTGGTTTGAGCCTAACAAGTTGTCCAGGCAATATATGTGTTCTGTGACTTTAATAGGAATATGTATTGTGTGACTTTACAGTTTTACTTCTGATTCATTGTAATGCTGAGTCATGCTGTAATTACTTGTGAACGTATTTAAGGAAGGTACTGTAATGTATTCAGTTGATGATAAGCTACCATTGTGTGAGGAGTGTAATCCATTGTGCTATCATCGTTGGATGGATCTGTTACCATCAGGGTAAGAAGATTTTATATCACTGGACTGATTTAACTGGCAAAGACTTGGATTTGTTTAAAGACTATGAGATTGTTTTTTCACTATAAAGTAAACTTTTGATAAACCAGTTTGCACATCTCTTATTCATTGCTCTCAGCAACGTTTCTCTGTGCTCTACACTCTGCTGGTTGGTAACACAACAACAACAATATCCTTAACAGGGAGGATACTTGGAGGGGAATGAAAGTAACTTCCCTGTCTCCTCAAGATGCTGCTTCAAGAAGACAGCTGCATACTGTTGTGTTCGGCGGCCCCGGCAACTGGGGACGCCACCCCGTGATTGGCCAAGAGGCGTGGCCTCCCTAAAGCGGGAGTATCTGTGGTTGCTGATTGGTTATCGTTTGACAAGCTAAGGAGTATAAATAGGCTGTCAGTTCTCCTCAGCCTTGTTCGTGTTTTCTCAATGCCTGTTGCTGTTTAATAAAGTGTTCTGTTTAAACGCAACCTCGGCCTAATTCATGCCTGAACAAACTATTTAACACATACCAACCTACTTTTGCATTGATCATTCTGAAAACATCTTGCCTGAACCTGATTGGTTATGGAGGGGCAATGGTAGGCAGTTCTGGGAGGGAAAAGTCAAATTTAGGAATTTTAACATGCAATTCTCAGTACTGGCTACATTTGACTACAATAGATTTCTAATAAAACTGTATCTTTCCCAATGAATGGAGCAAAGGATCATTTTTACTGAGAGGTTTAAGTTGTGGCAGGTCAGCCATCAGCTACATACCTTTGGTCTGGGCAAAAGTCTTCACCAGCTGACTAGCCTCCTCTTGTATGTACTCTTCCAGCCCTTTTTTCATTTGTCCCAATTTCTGAAGGGTCGAATTCCCAAACTGTCTCTGCTGCTTCCAGGTTTTTCGATTGGAAAACATGATGCCTGCAGAAAACATGAACCATTAGGATGCTTTATTAGAAATGTATTATTTTTTATTAGAGACACATATTCCACTTTACATTACAGGAAATCATGGCTGTATACAGCACAACCTCTCCTCCATTTTTCCCCACAGCAACAAGCCTGTAAGGTAGGTTGGGCTGAGAATGATTGGCTCAAAATCATACAGTGAGATTCAGTGGTTGAACCACTGAGAACCTGAATCTCCTAGGTCAGTGATGGCTAATCTTTTTGCCGTCGCATGCCAAAAGTGGGGAGTCCGCGGAGTGGTCCACATGCCCACAACCACAATTTAATGCCTCCCCACCCCCCATACATGCACGCGTGACCCCCCCATTCTCCCCCCCTCCCACTTTCGACACGTGACAGCAAGGTTTTCTTGGAGACTGGGGAGGGCGAAAACAGCCTTCCCCACCCCCACCCTCCGGAGGCTGGAAACGGCCCATTTCCCAACTTCCGGTAGGCCTGGAAACCCCGAAAATCAGTTGGCCAGTGTGCGCATGTGTACTGGAGCTGAGCTAGGACAATGCTCACGTGCCCACAGATATGGCTCCACGTGCCACCTGTGGTACAGGTGCCATAGGTTCGCCATTACGGTCCTAGGTCCTTTCAACCGCAACATCTGATTGGATCTCAGTAATGGTGATCTTGAATATGAGCCAGCAGTGTACAGCAGCAACCAAAAAAGCTAACACAATCCTGGGTTGTATAAACAGAGGTATAGAATCAAGATCACGTGAAGTATTAGTACCACTTTATAAAACCCTAGTGAGACCACACCTGGAATACTGCAACCAATTTTGGTCACCATACTACAAAAAAGATGTTGAGACTTTGAAAAAAGTTCAGACAAGAGCAACTAAAATGATCAAAGACCTGGAGACTAAAACATACGAAGAACAGCTGCAGGATTTGGGCTTGGCTAGTCTAAGGAAAAGAAGAATTAGAGGCGACATTTATAGCAGTCTTCCAGTATTTGAGGAGCTGCCCCAAAGAAGCAGGGTCAAATTATTCTACAGAGGGCAGGACAAGAAACAATGGTTAGAAACTAATCAAAGAGAGAAGCAACCTGGAATTAAGGAGTAACTTCCTAACAGTGAGGACAATTAACCAGTGGAACAGCTTGCCTTCAGAAATCATGGGTGCTTCGTCACTAGAGGTTTTTAAGAAGAGACTAGAGTAGACATTCACTTATCTGAAATAGTTTAGGTTTTCCTGCTTGAGCAGGGGACTGGACTAGAAGACGTCCAAGATCCCTTCCAACTCTATTCCTGTTCCTGTTCCTGTTCCTGTTCCTGTTCCTGTTCCTGTTCCTGTTCCTATTCCATTCATTCAGTATTCTCTTCTACTCTACTCTACTGCAACCAATTTTGGTCACCATACTACAAAAAATATTTTATTCTATTTTACAGCAAGATCTGAGACCTGGGTTCCAAAGCTTTGACCTATCCATCATCAAAATCCATATCTCCCCAAATCATTGAACCCAGCCTACCCTAATCTTTCACCAAATATTAAACATTCACATAAAGTCACACTCTTGTTATCTTGGTGGCAATAAAAAAATAAAGATCTAACCCAGTATAAAAAGACTGAAAGGAGAAAGCACCTATTTTTTATTTTATTAGTCGCATTTTTATGCCGCCCAACTCCTGAGGGACTCTGGGCGGCTAGTTTTTGTCCACTTACCTTTTCCGCTTCCCAGAATTTTTGAAAAAGGAAATATTGGTCGCCCACACATTGCTTCAGAATTATTAATTAATCCATTTTTCACAGCACTGAATCCAGTTAGCACAATCACCGGTGTGTGTCCTATCCAAAAGGTGAAGATATTCCCGTAAATGTCTGTAAGCTGTAAATGGGATCAAAATATCCAACAAAGTCAGGGCAGGGAAAGAGTTAAGTATTATGTCAAAAATATTGCTGCATTCCAAATATCTGTGTTTATTCATTTCTTTGCTTAAAAATAATTTATTAAATATTACAGATAAAATGAATACAAATAAAAACAAAAGAGTAGAGAGAAGATAAAAAGAGCAGAAAAGTAAAAATAAAAATAATGAAATAAAGAAAAATTGAGGGGGGGAAATAAAAATATAACAAAACAAGAAAAAAGAAATATAAAGAAGTAACTTCTCATTTCATCTAACAAGTATTAAAAATTTTAATATCTTATCATTTTACCTTAAAATACAACAAACAAACTCTTCACATCACATCTTTTATCTATAATAAATCCTTAAGACCTCATCATTTTAATATTGTAAAAAAAAAACCTAAATTTATCATATTTCCCTTCAGTTTTATCAATCTTGATCTTTCTTCTTTCTCCCTTTTCATCAAGTTTTTCGAGGAACAAGGTGGCTCATGTAGTTAGGATGCTGGGTTGGAAGTTAGCAAGCCCATGTTCGAGACCCAAGAGCTGCCGTGGAGTGGAGTGAGCTCCCGTCATTTGCTCCAGCTCCTTGACAGGAACATGAAAGGAGCCCCCACAGGATCCCCCAAGCAACAGTGATCTCACCAGATAATCATTTCAACCTGGAAGTGCCTTAAGAGTTGCCTCTGATATAAATGGGATGGGGATCAAGTCTTTTAAAATTTTAACAGGTCTCCTTTGTAAATCCAATGAAATAAAATTACCCAAATCACTCTCCTGATTGGTTAGTCGGTTATATGTTCTTTTTAATTATTAAAACTACAGCTGAATTCCTTTGTATATCCAGTATTTCATTTTGTTCCAAATCATTCTTGTAACCTGTCATTTTTAAATTCACATTCAGATATATGTCACTCTTATCCAGTAAAACCTGTTCCTCTTCCATAACATCATTCACACAAAGTCTATTTATGATGGCAGACATTGTTAAAATTAACTTCTGAGACCACTGTTCACATATGTCCTCAGTATATTCAATGTTAAGGTATTTTGCTCCATTCTGTGTTAATAGGTCAAATTGTTAATTGTAATCCTTATTTCCTTTTAGTTATGGTGTCCAACCTTCAAAGTCTCTTCCTATCACTTTTTTTTCTAAAATTCACAATATGTGTGATTTTCCCACAGGAAGGATACATTCATTTTATTTCAAAATTCATTTGAAGTCCATCTAGACTCTTAATCTATTTATTATTTTCCAAAAACAATATTCCAATGTCCTTTATTTGCTATTCACATTTTTGCTTAGCAAAAATTTCTAACTTTTTGAAATCACACTTAAATTTTCTTTTGTTGAGAATTGAGGGAAACTTAACCTGTGTAAGTCATCAGACCTTTGCCATTCGAAAGGTTCTTAATATTTGAAAGCAGCTTAAAAAGTAATTCTAAAAGTGATTAAGGAATGAGGCTCAGCCACGTTTTATGTCCATGTAGGTTATATTACAGATGTGGACAGAAATGGTACCTCCTGACTTCCAGCAGTTTCACTTACCAGCTAACCACGAAAACCTTGGTTTCTGCAGCCTACTTGCAAGGAGCAGTGGTCCAGGGTAAATGTGGGCAATCCTATGCGCTCTCCTTTCTCCAGAGAGATTTTGCCATCCTCTGGTTGGTCATCTTGGCCATAATTCCATCTTCATCCTTTCAGAGATATCTAGCTCGCCATATCCTCACTGAAAGTCCATCAGTTATTCACTGCAAATCTGGCTTTTTCAGTCCAGATCAGAATTTTAAGGGATGGTGCTATAGATATAAACTTTACCCTCTTTGAGATTTAGATAGAAGTCAAACATAGGTGCATCATGTCAACTCATGAAGCTTTCCTGACCCGCTCCCGAGTTGCCATAGGCAGGAGGATAGGGGGATTGAGTCTCACAGCTGCATCAAAGAATTTGCACCTCAGTCAAAACAACGCACATCCTAGCCGGCCAAAGTTAAGGCTATCTCCATAGAAACCAGTAACAGCTGGAAAGAGTGACTCAGTGGTGGGATTCACTGGTTGTAACAACTGGTTCACTGTGTGCTCGCTTCCCTTGCATGGGTGCCAAACTTGTACTTCTGCGCATGCACATTACGATAGAAAGTTGCCTGCTACTGACTCCAGAGTGAGTAAAACAGCTGAGGCGCAGCAATCCGCTCTACTGAGCCTATCAGCTGGACTTAAAACAAAAGAAATATAGCACAGGGTCAGGTGGGCCCATCTGCTCATCGGAGCGAACTGGTTCACTCACAGCTGATCATCGGAGCTACTGGTACACCCAAGCTATGGATCAGAACCAGCTGAATCCCTCCCTGGAGTGACTTCTACGACCCGCAAAATTGCTTCGTTGGGGAATGTGACAGATGACTCACCTTGAAGGGAGGAGGAAACAGGGTCAGAGGCAAGGCACGAACTGAGTGGGGTCAGAGCTGGCTTTATTAGGTCCGTGCCAAAATGGTGTTCCTAATAAACAACTGGATTTTTCTTGAAAACTGGCTGGAAGCTCCTGCTTTTATTAGGGCATCAGTCGGAATCCTGACAACAAGCCAGCTCTGACTAAACTAACCAAAATGACTGGGATTCCTGAGCCCTGGACTCTCCACCTACTCTTTCATACTTGGGGTGCGTGGAGAGAAACTCAGGCCATCATGGCAGACGGCAGGATCTCTGAAGAAAGCCTGCTCCTGGCAAGGAGACAGAACCTGCCCCCATCCAGGAAACTCCAGGATCCAGCAGCCCAAATGGAACTCAACTGCAACCGTCTCTGACCACGGAAGCCAAGACACCCAGAATGCCTGCCTCAGTGACCAAAGCAGAAAGGGATTGAGTATTGGTGGAAGAGAATCTCTAAAGCGGTCAAGGTCGCACCCCCCTACCCTAGCTCCCATCACCTGGGCAACACATAAGCGAGCTAGAAAGACTGGAGTGGATGAAGGAGTGGGAAGAGGTCAGAACTCCAAAAACTCTACTGGGGAGCCCAGGTGAATCCTTAGAGCAACTGAGGGAGGAATTTGACCAAGCCACCCTTCGTGATGAGGGGCGTCGTGCTGCCCAAAAGAAAGGGGAAAAGAGATGGGGGGTGCAGTTGATCCCCATGAGTGTTGTGGCCCATACGTGGCCTGTGCAGCTAGTAGCTAATTCAGATAGTGAGAAGGCTGGTGTGATGCTGCGCCAGCAGCCTGTGCAGCTGGCACTCGAGTCAGACAATGAGGAGGCTGGAGAAGATGTGGTGCCAGAGGCGGGGATTCAGCCAGGGCCTTCAGAACCTCCAGAAGCTCCCTTAAGTGAAGAGGACGAAGAGGAGGAGCCTCTTCTCGATGCACAGGCGCGTAGAGCTGCCAAAAGGCAGGAGTGGCTCCTCAGGAGGAGGTCTCCTCGAGAGTAAAGCTTGGGGCTAATTGGCCACTCCCTTAGCCTATTTAAGGAGGAACGCCGACTGAAGCAATTTGCAGGGAACAACTTCGTTCACATACCTTCGTGTCTTGTCTTGCTGCTTTCTGCAAATTGCTTCTGGGCATTCTGCCAACCCCAGTAAGCTTTCAGTATTATTCTTTGAATTCTTGGCAGCTGTTAATGCAGTTAATTAACAGCCGTTGTGGTAAAAAAAACTGGTTTATTTAGTAAACTAAGGTTTGTACAGACTTTGTGTGTGCTGCGTTCTTTGGGTCCGTAGCTGGGGCACAACAATGAAGTGAGGAGAAGCCCCTTCCAACCCTGCTTTTATTAGGGCATCGGTCGGAACCCTGACACATCAAAGTCACAGAGAAACTGTCCCTTGTGCCAACATTTTAATGATGGTTTACCTGTAGCAGACGATCCTGTGGAATTTAGAGGAGGAGGAGGAGGAAGAGAAAAAGAGTCTCTGCGATTTATTAGCTAGTTGGTTTCATTCCCATACTGTTGTTGTGGGCCAAACAGTTGCATTAATTAACATAAAATGATAAGATTTGAATCTGTTCTTACGACAAGCAGTTGTCACGCTGGGAGTATATTTTGCTTAGTTTGACCTTTCACCGGCTTCATTTTTGTTGTGACAAAATTACACGACTGCCATTCAGCACCATCTCCCTGAAAAATCTGCGGATTTTCTGGGCAACGTTGTCCCACAGTCATTTCAGATATGACCGCTGGGCTGAGTCCAGCCTTTTCAAAATCCCAAAGCAATTTTTTTTTTCTCCCACAGGTCAGACTATTCTCAGTCAGATTTATTTTATTTATTTATTTATTTATTTATTTGATTTGATTTCTATACCGCCCTACTCCCGAAGGACTCAGGGCGGTGCACAGCCAAACAATAAAACACGTACAATACAAAATTTAAAAGTAGAATAAAATCAAATTAAATAATTTTGGCCCCGACAAATTTAAAACCCCAAACTTTTAAAACCAATTTAAAATTGAATGTATAAAATACTAAAAGATATTTAAAAATTAAAAAAACTTTTATAAAAGAGGGAGAAAATTAGGCCAGGCCCGCCTGGTGAAATAGTAAGGTCTTTAAAGTGCGGCGGAAGGTGCGCAGATCCGGGATCCTCTGTATCTCTGGGGGGAGCTCGTTCCAGATAGTAGGTGCCCCCACAGCGAAGGCTCTCCTCCTGGGGGCCGCCAGTCGGCATTGTTCGGCTGACGGCACCCGGAGGAGCCCCTCTCTATGGGAGCGTACCAGCTGGTGGGAGGCTATTGGTGGTAGTAGGCGGTCCCGCAAGTACCCAGGTCCTAAGCCATGAAGTGCTTTAAAGGTGGTAACCTTGCCAGATTGAAGGAAGCAGTTCCAGGGCACCCAACATGGGCCCCACCTGTTGTGCCCGTCCTAAATTGGAGTTTTCCATCGAAATCAGATGCATGCCATCAACAATATTGAGGGTGTTTTAATTTGTCCCAGGGCCAAATTATCTAATGTGGTTTTATACTGTCTTTTAAATTTTGTAATTTATGTGTT